AGAGAGTGTGTGTCTGTGTGTGTGTGTGCACGTGTGTGTGTGTGTGTGTGTGTGTGTGTGTGTGTGTGTATGTGTGTGTGCCGGGGGGAGGGGAGGGAGGACCCCTCCCCCACCAATCAATCAACCAATCAATCAATCAATCATAAAAACTATCAATCAATCAATATTTATCTTTTTTCTATTTATTTATTTATTTATTTTGTCACATACCAAACCCCCCCTCCTCCCCAAATTTTTATTTTTATTTTTTTTAATGAACAGGGTCCTAGAGGCCGACGTGCGACGGCCGCGCGCGCGTGCCGTTTTCCCGCGTGCGCCCCTGCCTTGGCCTGGCTCGGCTGCGGGCCCGCGGTCGGCTTCCTCAGCCGCAGCCAAGGCCGCAGGATCCGCAACCTAGGGTGTCATGTAGACCCCTGTGCACTGCAACCGACAAACCAGCCATCTGCACAGTCGTCGACAACAAATGGTTTCCCCTTCGCCGCAATGGATAGATTTTCCATTTCTACGCACACGTCGTGCTCCCCGTCAACCACTCCACCTCCTCAATGTGTGACTTCTTCGACGAAACGCCATGCCGTGTCTGCTTGCTGCCGGGCGATGCGCACATCGTCTTCCGCAGCCTCCAACCTCCTCCAAGTGTCATCTTTTGTAGCGCTCGGCTGTCTTCCCCCATCCTCCTCCACCTCCCTAATTCACGGCTCATACGCATGTGCTGGACAACCAGGTGATCGCAGCATTGCACGAGGCTCGACCGTGAAGCATAGAGACGTTTCACAACGGATTTTGCCCATCTGCGTGCGTAGATGTTCTCATGTGACCCATCTGTCTCGCACACCTCTCTCCCGCACCGCATCCGCACTGTAATGCTATCACCCCTGGACACCAAGAACTTGTGCAAAAACTCCACCTCTCGCTCCATCTTCTCCAAATCTTGGACCAATGCATGCCTCTCCAAGACATAGTCTCTATGCCCATCATTCATCGCCATCACGGTAAGTGTTCAAAGTGCAACTATGGTCTCAATGTCGCAGTCCAAAAAGTTGAACGACCTCGCCGCACAGTGCATCTCTCATGGCCTGGTCGCGCTCCCTGCCAAACATGGTCTGAAGCGGGGTATCGTCGCCTCGCTTATCCACCAGCGGTGGGGGGAAATCCGGGGAAGACGCATCTGACGCCTCACCGTCGTCTTGGGGTAGGTCGCCCAACTCCTGAAGCAGATTGTGTAATATACAACACGCGTGGAACTCCAGCCCCTCTCTCTCGATGTTAGCAACATGCGAACGGTAAAAGAACTGGAACCACATTTAAAAAACGCCAAAAAACGCTCCACCGCCGATCTCACAATTTTGTGGAGCGAGTCAAATAATTGCATATCCGTTGTGACGTTAGCCCCCACTCCGTACGACACCACCAGCCACGGGAGACCGGGATAACCTGAAGCAGGAACTGAAGCAAGCAAACTATTCGTTGAAGCACTCCGTTGTGACGTTAGCATATCCACCACCAGCCACGCCTGAGATGCAGGAACTGAAGCAAGCAAACTATTCGTTGAATGACCAAGGATGACATCCACCATGGCCATGGCGTCTTCTGCCATGCAGCCTGCTATGGCCATGGCGGCCACAGCCATTCTCTCCCGTTCTCTCCTCCTGAGCCTCAGCATTGGTACACGCCACGACAGGCACTGGACCGACTCGAATGGCTTATGGTTTGCTTTTTTTTTCCTCGTTCGGCCAGCAACAAAACAACCACCCACCACCCTGTCTCCCCCCTCCCCCCCTGCCCCCCCTTGCGCTGCCCACCCCGCACCCCAATAGCTGTACGTTGATGAACCCAAGGGAGGTACTCGCGTGCTTCGGAAGTTGCTAGCAAGGAGCACACATGTGACGAACGATACATTCGTCAATCCGCTGCACACATAATGACGACGACTTGCCCACCCGCCAGCCCAAAAGCCCGCATCGGCCCAACCGGATTTCGAGCGCAAGTGCCATGTTCCACAGCCACAGAAGGCCAACATCCCGAAATGGAAACCGTGTGTTTCCACTTGTGCCCTATTCCCTCTGGTGGAGAAGGGAGGCACGTTGATGAATATAGCCGTATGTGGGGTCCAGGTCGATGGATCAAACACTGAATACAGTGTGAGAGGGGACGAACATGCGAGGTACCGAAGCAATCATACCTGACATGAATTTTGAGGGAGCACGCCATGGATCCAGGGCCACGACATACAAACCACCGTGTTCAAGGGGGGGAAAATTGCCATTATCGGATGCTTTTGAATCCGAGAAACTATTAAAAAGCAATAAAAAAGAGGGCAGAAATGCGGCACACAGCATAAAAGACTTGGCTAGTGGGTCCGAGCCCCTGGAGCATGGTCCAACTAGCGACGGGATAGGATAGAAACGAGTTTGTGGGACAGTTGAGTGACCCAAATCCTGCCGTGCAGTACTCGTGATCCCACGGTCAGTAGTTTACATG